GAATATGACCGAGAATATTGGTATAGTGAATGCTTGAGATATTGTAATGTGGCATGCTGAAATGTTGGCAACGTGAATGTTTAAATATGGAAAAATTGAAGTTGAAATGTGGATTTAGTAAATGTTGAATTAGGTTAAAATGTAAACAAAGGGAATCTTCAATATGACTAAACGTTGACTTACCAAAGAAAACTACAAAATGCTGTTAGTAAAAAGTATATCATAAATCTACTAAAACTTCATTTAGCCAAAAAAATGAACGTGGAATCTATGGGGAAAAAATGAAACTGAGAAACACATTTATTTAGATTGTATATTAGTACAGAAAGCAAAGCAAACACTTGCAAAAATATTAAACTCCACCAATCAAACAGCCACAACAAATAAAGCAATCACGCCTAACTTAATTAACACGACTAGAAAAATAACAGAAGATGAAAACAGACTAGTAGCAACGGCTATTTATAGATCGACTATATGGCAAATTAGGAATAAATTCAGAAAAAAAATGTACAGGAAAGCAATGAATAAAGTATTCATTTTAATTTAGACAGTCTCAAGCCAAACATCACTCGATCAGCCCTCAAGTAAATTAACATTAGAACAGTCTTCTGTTTCCCAGGTTTTTAAAAGTGCACAACCTGAATGGTAGAAAGAGGTACATTACCCCCCACCCCACACACACACACACACTTCCCCCCCCCCCCCCCCCCCACTCAACCGGACAGGCGGATATTTCAAGGTAGAGTGCCCTCATTGCCAAGGGTCAATTTTATGTCATGGAAAGTTTTGGAATGATAGATCAGTATGTGTATTACACTTCTCCCACGGTCGTTCCTATTTTTGTTCATGGGTGGCTACAATGTGAACTTTTGACTCCGCAACTAAGGACGGAGCACAGTAAACTAAGCAGTCAAAAGAAACCGAGTTTGCACACCTTATTTTAGTCTAGTTCTTATATATAATCTTATGCCATTTTATTTTCTCCCTTTGATTATTATATATGCAATTGATGTTCATGTCTTTGATGCTGTGTTAAACTATCAAATAAATTATTATTACTAATTTAAATGTTTAAAAAATTGAATTAATTAAAAAAAACCAAAAAAAAAAAACCACTGTTTGAGGACTTTATAGATATAGATGTTTGAAAGGGAAGAATGTTTGCTTTGATGTGTCTCATTGTAATAACAAAACTTTTCCAATTGCTTAAAATTTGTATCATTTTAATTCTCTGTAATCCCAAATTTATTTCAGCTCTACTTAAAAACCCAAATTCCTATCCGCCCCCCCCCCCTTCCAGCCCACCACGCCGAGGAAAAAAAAAATACTTATTTAATTACACATTTGCATTTTCAAGTTGCTGTTTGTTTTTTTTTTTGTTTTTTTTTAGACGTTTTGTATTTAATCTATATATAAGTAAACCATCTTAAATGAATGAAAGTAGGTTACAAGTAAGAAAGAGATATTACTATTGTAAATCTGTATCAGTCCTCACAAGCCGATGATGAAAACTGTAATACTACAGCGAACACGCAACTGACGCTGTAAATTACATGTCTGAGGCGGGGGGGGGGGGAGGACGACACTATTATTTCAGGCTTAAAATTACATTAAACATATTTTTGTATGTTTTTTTTTTTTTTATTTATTTTTTTTTTGGAAAGATTTAAAAGTATTTTCTTTTCAATTTCAAGTTCTATTGTATTAAACTAGTTTAATTAATGACAGTTTGCATATAAATCACTACAAATTGCTACAAGGATGCATCAAATTAAAAACAAAAGTAAGGCTTACATTTCATTGGTTAATTTTTTTTTGAAATGTTATATATCTAAATTAACTACTAGACTAAACCAACACAACACAAGTTAACTTTAAAACAAATCAGTCTGTTGATTATTATAGACTCAACAGGAAAACCATTGCAGATGTCAAACTAATCTTTCAAATCCCGATTTTAAAAGTTAAAATATGTGTCATACGATGCCCGGTTGAGTAAAGCGAATTGAGTTTAACATCGATTGAGTGGAGAATGGAAAATTTTTAAAACGTGCATGAGACTGGACGAAGCACCAGCTTTACTTCTGCAGCTTGCCATGCAAGAAGGAACCCCCGGGCAAGGCGAGGCTTGCTGAGGGCATCTGCAGGTGGGGGGGGGGGGGCGAATGGCTGAACCGATGCTGATCGAGCGATTCACTTTTGTCAAGTAAAAGTCAACGGTTCCATGACAAATGATCTCAAATAAAATATCCCTGACACAATTTTAATTTCTCAAGGACTGAAGGAAATATCTCAGGATATTTTATATTTGCGTGTGTGTTTGTATGTCTATGCAGGGGCGGAACTACCATACCGCCAGACCCCGCAATGCGGAGGGGCCCAGGACGTTTAGGGGCCCAGTTCCGACCAAAAAACAATGAATTTTTTTTCAAAAATTATGTTTTTCATGCATCTTGAAAGTGGTTTTGTAAAAAAAAAAAAACCAGGTCTACCAGAGATTGTTGCGTAGAAAAATATTTTAAAATCTGCAAGAGCTATAGTCTGAAAGGTAGACAAACATTCACACTACTTCCATGACTTACTGCCCTTCTTTGAAATAGGGATGCCCACAAAGCTTATTTAAATAGTTTCGTACTATGTATATTAAAAAGCAATTGATTCTCTGAATTATTATTTAAATAAGACGTACTAAACAATGGTATAGCTATAAAAATCGATGTTTTCAAAATTGATATTAGAAAAGCCAAAAATGAAAAAAAAAACATAACGCCAGAAACCATTCACGAATTAAGCTTACGTCTTTATACATTTTTGACCAGCATGATTAGTAGTGTCAGTTATAATTTCTAGCCCAAAATGAGTTGGGACTAAATTTGTCTGGTTTGTTCTTTCAGAATGGTTATATATTGCAATGAAGTAGACTAAAGTTAGGATAAAGGTTATATGTATATAAATAAATAATTAAATAAATAATTAAATAAATAAATAAATATATATATATATATATATATATATATATATATATATATATATATATATATATATATATATATATATATATATATATATATATATATATATATATATATATATATATATATATATATATAGATAGGGGGCCCTAATTTTTTCTTTGCGGGGGAGCCTTTTTTTTCTAGTTCCGCCACTGTGTCTATGTGCGTGTATTTGTGTTTGTGTGTATATATCTATCTATCTATCTATATATATATATATATATATATATATATATATATATATATATATAATTGCGGATAGTGTCAATAGAAACACGTATAAATAATATTACAAAATGCGCTATCTAAAATTTTGGACCAACACTAAATATGTTAATGTCTTTGTCCGCTTGCTGGAAGTTTGAAAAGTTCTTCAGGTCTCCAGATATTTTCTAACAAATACATTTTTATTTAATTATCTCTTAGAACTTCTTTTATAAAATTTGCGTTAGAAACAGGTGAAGATGCTGAATTTATGGAGATTTCTGGGTGTATTTTACTTTGAGAGCAATATTACTATTTCTGCCATTTTCAGTTTCAATTATCGCATTAAAGAAACCAGTGAGTGAAGTTGTATTCGATTTCGTTTTAAGATTCGCCATCATTGTAATAAATATTGAGAGAAATTAATTTATATTCATCTGGAACTCTGTGAGACAAGGGAAAACTGACCGAGGTTAGATCAGTTAAGGAGGTCGAAGGGGGTGGGGGTAGCGGGATGAACGTGAGTAGTTGTCTGTTATGAGTGGGTCCGGATGTGCATTTGACAGGGAGGTGTGAGCGCGACCCACGATGTTTGACACTGGGGGGGGGGGGGGATGGAGCCTGGGTAGGTTAAGTAGAGAGGCAGGGACATGCGATAGACAGTCAAGAAAAAGACGATAATATAATGGTTTTTATTCATGTTATCTAAGATCTTCAGGCTGCATCCTGAATGTTGTTTTAGCACTAAATATTAGCGACACAAGACCAGCGTCGCCAACAGCTGTACCTTAAAGTTAAACGGTTGTCCCAAATAACCCCCCCCCCCCCCCCCGCTCCCTCTCCTGCTTACGCCACTGGGTGTATATAATTAGTGATGACATCTTGCCAGATAGACACGTCAGTGATATTTAAAAGTGAGTCGAGAAACTTTAACACAAGATTTTAAGAAAAGGGAATTACGTTTTAATACCTGAGTCAAACTTTATTTTAAATTTTCATTTACTTCCCTTTCGTCTTCTAAGAAAAAAATTCATTTGATTTTTTATTACGTCAGCTATTTATTTTGCGTCAGCATCCTCACAATAAAGGCAAGCAAGGCTTTAGAACTCAGATATATAAATAAGGATACTGAAATCCCGATTAATGATATAAAAGGGAAAAAGTATTTCAAAGAGGTCCATTGGCAAGTCGATGGGTCATGAAGGTTATAGGCTACTCCTGAAGAAAATGCTTGCAGAAACCGATATTAATTTTTTGTTTTTTTAACGTGAAGTATAAAATTAACTTCATTTATTTTAAAAAACAATTTTATTTTTCAGTGTAATAATCGCGATGTGTTGATTTGTACGCCCGTTTGTTTTGCAGCTATTAATTTTTAAATGTATATTTTATAGTCAGCGAATGTAGTAAAAAAGAAAAACTGTACTGCAGAGAAGGCGTGTTAGTTAAGTTCTTTGTATTATTTTTTCTTTACAAATTTGACGACATAATGTAAGTATTTTTAAAAAAAAATTTTTTACATTGTAATATTTTATCTAATCTATCTGTTGTAGATACAGGATCTGTCAAAAAATTAATATATTTTTAAAAATTATATGGGGCATCTGCTGATCTGGAGACCACTGTCCGGTTTATTCACGAAGTTGGACTTGTCTAAATCCTCCACCATATTCTCAATTAAGAACGAAGAAGAAGAAGAAGAATATTTTTTTAAAAGCATTTAAATAATACCGTTAAAATTTTTTGCCAGTTATAGATAGAAGTGCTTACAGTACAAGAATGGCACAAGCCAGTCCAGGGCCTGTCAGAACTGCCGCCGGGCGTCACGTGTCTTCTGACACGCCCACATCCACAATTAAAACTTTCTTTGAGTGCATATCCAAAGGTAACAAAAACCAAGTCAAAAATCTCCTTAACAAAGGAGACGGGGTTCATTTGCTCAGCAACGGCAAAGGTTGGACTGGTCTAATGGTGGCCGCTACGACGGGGTCCATAAATATTGTCAAGATTCTGCTGACGATGCCGGATATTGACATAGACAAAGTGAACGCTAGTGGTTGCACGGCATTGATGGTTGCGGCTTGCTTTGGCCGTGCTGATGTCGTGCGACTTCTGGTGCAGAAAGGTGCGAGAACAGACCTGAAAAATAACGAAGGAGAAACGGCTTGTTTTATCGCATTGTCCTTAGGTCGGGTTGACATTGTGAAGCTGCTAGGTCACAGTGACACAGGCGTTGATGTCAAGAATAATCTGGGACGGACCCCCTTGATGGTGTCGGCATACCGCGGGGCCAGTCGAGCGGTAAAAAAACTGTTAAATCTTAAAGCTGACGTGGATCATTTAGACAACTGCGGCTGGAGCGCTTTGAGTCTCGCAGCGTGCCAAGGACATTACACCGTGGCGAATACTTTACTTTTAAACAAAGCAAATGTCGAAACACAAGAAGGTATGTTTAACCCACTACTTCTCGCTGCACAAAATCGCCATCTGAACATTGTTAAATTGTTGATCAAGCATAACGCAGATATAAACTACAGAAACTCACAAAGATGGACATCGCTATTATACGCCATCAAAAACAACGACATCAAAATGGTGGATTTCCTGTTGAACAACGGCACACAGGTCAACAGGCGGACGTACAAGAAAACATCCGCGTTGATGCTAGCTTCACGCAGTGGGCACGTTGGTATCGTCAAACTCTTACTGTTAAAAAACGCTGACGTCAATTGTCAAGACGTCAAAGGTAAAACGGCTTTAATGGAAGCTTCAGAGAACGGACACACAGACATTGTCCGGCTACTTGTAAACAACAGAGCCGATGTAAACCTGGGCACGTGTTTGGGATGGACAGCTTTAATGTTTGCGGTGCAGAATGCTCGGTACAAAACTGTGAAACTTCTGGTAAAGAGCGGTGCGAATGTTTCACAATTGACCAAATTGCAGTCCAGTGTTTTGATGATAGCCGCGCAAGTAAATCATCTAAAAACTCTCAAACTGATCATTTCGGTTAACCCAAATATTTCTCACATCAACAGTGTCGGGTGGTCGGCTCTAGCCATAGCCGCCGCTAAAGGTTTTAACGACAATGTTAAATATCTTCTAAAAATACATGCAGATGTAAATCACAAAATCAGGGGTTTTACACCACTTATTTTAGCCGCGTGGTATGGGCATACTAGTACTGTAAACATTCTGTTAGACAACCACGCCGACGTCAATAGCGTGACGTCAGTCGGGGTCACGCCGTTGATGCTGGCGACGTTCAAAGGTCACGGTGACACGGTAAACTTGTTGCTGAGAAGTGGAGCAACGGTCGAGCACTCGAACAGATTCTGTCAGACGGCCATGACCTTGGCGGCAGCGTCAGGTCACGATGACATTATCAGATCCATCATCAAGCACTGCGACCAGCAAGGGGTCACGTGCCCGGGTCTACGTAGGAGCCTGTTCGCCGCCGCCCTCAAAAACCACCCGCTCGTCATAGACGCCCTGTGTGAGAAGACAACCGAGCTGAACCTAATACAAGACAACTGCCGCAGTCCCAGCATCGTGGCCTGCGCTAAAGGACACGTCGATGTCGTCACCAAGTTGGTGGAACACGGCTGCGACATCAACAGGACGGTAACCAACGCCCAGTCGCCGGATGCCAAACCGGTTCTTCTTGAAGCCGGCAGTTTAATCTCTGCCGGCCCGATCCACGTCTGTGCCTACTGTAATCAACCGGAATGTCTTAAGATCTTAATTAGCGCCGGGGCTGACATTAATCAGAAAAACGATTACGGAACAACAGCACACATGATTGCAAAATCCAGAAACTACCAGGAAATTTGCGATATTCTTTTTACAAAGGTGGCTGAGATTGATGCTGAGATTGATGCTACATCGGAGTCCAAAGATCCTTTTCTGCGATCTTCTCAACATATGTAAGCCAACAGATTCATTTCTTATTTATATTTTGTAAGGTGAACAAGAGACTTAACCCATTGTTTTCTATACATTCATTTAATTAAAGTTCATCTAAAATTAAAGTCAGCTTTCGAATAGAATGCCTTCTCTGGGACCGGTGAAATAGTTCACCTGTTTCAGTGACCGCAGCTTACAAAGGGATAGTGTGGCCAGCACTGTCAACACCCGCCTCTACTTCTCCTAACGTGAGCAGAGTTGATAAACAAAAAATAACTGCAGACCCCTTCGTAAAAGAATTTTTTGGTAAATATAAATATATAATAAAAGAATAGTGTAATGTATTCAGACTATAAATAATGTTTTGCAATATTCATGTGTTTTAAACAACAGAGAGAAAAAAAAACTTTTCTAAAACAATTTTGTTTTGGTGAGTCTCGATGCATTCTCGTGTTAAGTTTTGGATTTAAAACTAGTGTCGTCTTTTTCTTTTGTTTGTAAAGGTCCAATTTTTGGCAAACCCGTAGAAAATGTATATATTTTAGGAAAGTAAGGTTTACCTTCCGTTCGGAGTCCAAGCTATAGGTTAGGGTTTTAAATTATGTCATGTTTTGGTGTGGTCTTAGATTAACATGGCAGCTTAGCATGTTTAAATGTCGGAGTAAGCATTGGAATAAATTTAGACTGAAGCTCAGGTTTTACTTACTGGAAATTATTTAAGTTTATGGTGTAGTTGTATTTGAGTGAATAGGTGTAAGTTTGAGTTTTTTTATTTATAAGAATAAGAAAATTTTTGTATGGCAAATAGTGTTAGCATGTCATTACATCGGAATGGCGAAAAAGTGGGGAGGGATGGTATGTTAAAGTTCCGGGTGAGTTTATAGCGTGCCTTCATATAGGGATAATAAAGAGAGGGGGAGAGGGGGAGGAAAATTGAATTAGAAAAGATGTTTTTTCATGCCTGTTAATTCGTAGAAAATACGGGCTAATGTTATTTTTGTGCATTAACAGCTTGTACATTTTATCATAGTATTTGTATCATCGCGTTGTAAATTTTAGACTGCTAAGAAAATATGTTGTTATTTTTTAACCAGAATAACCTATTTTATTATTTTTGTATGCGTTAATTGTTTCAATTTGAATTACAACTCTTGTCTTTACCATCATTCTAAAGCGGCTTCAAATAAAATGATTTCTATAATATTTCTCCTTGAGAAATGCAAACATAAGTTCTAATTGCATATTATATCGCCCTCCCCATATATATTTTTTAATACAAACTTCGAATCTTTAGACTTTTTCAAACCGCTCTAAATTGATTGCATTTTATTTTAATTAATATTTATAAATAAAAGAAAAGTATAACATTTTTAAAACATCCCATCTCATATATAACGGTATACGACAGATGAACCACATATGTTCTCCATAGTAATGTGACGAAGAAAACCTTATACAAGCGAGTATTCAGCTAAATAATTCGAACACCTGTATCAATATTATTATTATTTTAAGATGTTATATATCCCCCTTTATTATTTTTAAATAAACCACGGACATGTATGAAGCGAAATTTTTAAAAATGTATAAATTTAAACATAGGCATTGTGTCGTTTTCAATAAATATTTAACCAAAGATATAAATATGTATGTGTATAATATATATATATATATATATATATATATATATATATATATATATATATATATATATATATATATATATATATATATATATATATATATGTATATATATATATATATATATATATATATATATATATATATATATATATATATATATATATATATATATATATATATATATATATATGTATATATATATGTATATGTATATGTATATATATATATAGTTTGTTACAGATCCTTTCAAAACCGTTGGGTTTTTCCCCAAAATGTAGGTCACATAGCAGGAAGCTGAGCACGTGACGTGTCCATATATGGAATGTTTATTGTTAACCATCAGCCAGGGTGTGATGTGTATTGCTCCATCATTTGACCCGGATGTACAATGGGATTGGACAAAATGGCCTTTTGCGACACGGCGCTAGAATTCGTGGAACAATTGTAAGGCTGACGTCAGCAGAAATCACTGAGCATTGTTCCTGGACAACTGGAGCTAGTGAGAATAAACCGAGATGTTTTCTTACGAGAAATGTTTACTTTTTCACATCCGTTTTATGAAGCCATTTTTCTTTCAGGCGGCTGTCGGAGAAAGGGAATGGGTTTTTATTTTTATTTTAATAGAAAATGCATACTCTAACATAACCAGCTACCTCGCCCACCCCATCCCCCTCCATCCTTTCCACACGCATACTCGATTGAACTTTTCAAGTATCCTGGTGAGTTTTATTAACCCCCTTTTTCCCATGGAGCTAAAATGTATGAAAGAAACCCAGCTTAACACAATATTAGTCGGCATTTAGTCCCACAATGACGTAGAGTCTACGAAGCAGCTCCATATAGAGCTGACTTGTGCGACTGAGGTAGAGGCGTAGCGACCCTTTTCATTTGCACCCCACATCCCCTTCAAACTTTCGATTTGCAACCCCCCCCCCCCCCCAAACTTTCAATTTGCACCCCCGCCCCTCGAACTTTTCGTTTGCACCCCCCCCCCATCAAACTTTCAATTTGTTTGTTTTTCCAACCCATTTAGGCGCCCCCCCTAAGGTCGGCGCCCGGGGACATATGTCCCCCCCGCACCCCCCCCCCCCCTCGCTACGCCTCTGGACGCACCTAGGCGCACCTAGTTGACAGAGGTTGAGAAACGATGTCATATGCACATGACATCGTCATAAAAATATTGTCATATAATCACGACACCATCATAAGAGTAATATAGATTCCTGACGCTATGAAATGACGAATGTCATGTAATCTTGACATTTTAAAACGGATGTCGTGTAATAATGGCATTTTAACAAGGATGTCATGTACTCATGCTATTTTAAAACTGATGTCATAGACCCCGAGATAAAAATATACCTAAAATGTTTACATTAGAAAGTAAACTTACAAATGTTTGCTTAAAACTAATTTTAGTTTAAAAAAACTTGACTTTAAAATGTTTTCTTAAAAATAGTACACATTAATGATTAGATGTAGGCTATAGAGTTTTAAAATGCATTGATTATTAAATATTTAAAATATCTGACTACTACATTTTAATAAATTTGCGAAAGTTAATTCCATCTTAAATCAACCTAATGATAAAAATGGTATTGTTTTTCACCAAATTTATTTTTCATTAACTGTCTCAAATAAAAAATAAAAAATGAGTTAATCAATGTTTAAACGGTAAATGGTTTTTTTTTTATAATTTTAAATACAGAAAGTTGAGCCAGTAGAACGAGCGCCTTCTAACCTAAAAGACTCGAGTTCAGAACCCCGGTCTTACCTTCCTCCCCAACCCCCCCCCCCTCCCCATCCCCCATCCCTTCAAACTACCGGAGCAATTAAGTGGAGCAATTAAGAAAACGTGGTTAAATAATGCATCTGGCTTTTTAAATTAGAGAATTTAGTGTAAGGACCGTTTAGTGCTACAATGTTGTTCTATCGAATACATATTTTCTCTATTAACTGAACATGATGTTTAAAAATATTTAAACAAAAGTGTGCATTCTGATCCCAAATTTACCAGCACAGTCTAGGAACGAGATCATATTTGGAGGGTAGACTACATCAAACAAACCTGTGTGTCCTTTACTGGATCAGCAAATACATTCGTCTTAACGCCGTTAAAAGCTGTGTTGCGGAAATCAAACTAAAAACCGGTTTTCGACTTCCAACCAGGACCTGAGATCTCTACACCAGCTGACTTAAAGTTAGTCGTGATGCGACCAGGCATGATGTGATGACGTAGGTGGAATTGAGTAACCTAACCGAGTTTTATTTGAACAACCGACCCGGTTTCATGGCGGATGGTATTCCGTTTAAAAAGGAAAGTAGAACGTTGGAAATTTCACAACGATGCTAAAGCTCTGAGACTATCTGAGCTATAGTTTCAGGCTTGGTTTAGAAGTTCAGTGGTATACTCGTGGTTTAGGACTTTCTAAAATGTTAACTCATACTTATACTGCTGAGAGTAGAAGTAATCGGACGATGTAGAACATAGTGAAAGTATTCCTATTGTGTGTCTGGTGAAAATTCCCGACTGAGGCGAAAGCGGGGAAATGCATGTCTAATTTACGTTTACAGATCAGCTAAATGTCACTTTTTACTAATGTAAAAGACAATTAAAACCAACTTAAAGGTAAGATCTATGGTTATGATATGTGAAAGCTTAACTGCTGCAAGTATATTTATATATCAGATTATAGACACATCTATAAGAACTAGGCTTAGTTTTGTTAATTTGTTAATACACATCTGAGACAACTAAACTATGAACACATTTTATTTCAACTGTTTGTATTTTAAATCAACTACAATCAAAACCGTGAAATTTACGAAAACGAAAAAAAAGAACTATAAGAACATTAATCATTTATTTTAACAAGTTACCCCATTGCATTTTGCCGTTAATCCAAAAAAAATCCTTCTCAACGAATAAATCGTGAACGAAATTTCCATAACAAATATCCAGCTAGCTCTGAATAAGCCAAAGTGGAGACAAGTATTTTAACGCCGCGCCGGTTTTAAAGTTGGTGGCCGTCGTACCTGTCTGTCGTGTCTGTTATAGCCTGGAGCAGGCACCGGTGCTGGAACCATGTGACGTGTTGCCTAGCAACGTGTGTTACCTGAGTCAGGACCGGGTTCTATAGGTTACATTGGGTAGTGTTTAAGTAAACTGGGTTGTTGTATCTTTTAAACTGTTGATGTTTTGATGTGTAGCCCGATCTGGTGTAATGATAGGATAAAAGCACCTTACATTTCATTCTACTGAGAGAATTACTGCAGACTTTTACAAATGTCTTTGATCTACTGCGAAGTTTCTAATTACGTAGACAGAATGTCGTATATGCTGGACTTAGACTTAATGTTCTAGATATATATTAGGCCAAGACAAAATGTCCTGGATATACACTGAGCCTAAAAAATTGTCTTAGATATAAGCTGGGCTTAGACTAAATGTCGTAAATATACACTTGGACTAGACTTAATGTCCAAGGTAGGCGTATATACTGGGCCTAGATAAAATGACCTAGATATATGCCTGGCCTATACAAAATGTCCTCTATGTAAACTGAACTCAAACAGAATACACTACACGTCTGACAGACTGAGACAAGATGTCCTATATGTGAACTTCACCCATACAAAGTTTGCTACGGCTATACGGCGACTAGACAAAACTTGCTACATCTTAATTTATTTTTTGAGTTTTAACCTCACTCTAAGAGGCTAAGTGTTTGTTTTAGATGTGCGTTAGTTGATGTAACCAGGGGCGTCACGAGACGGGGCCGGGGTGGGTGGATCGCACCGGGGGGGACACCATTCAACGAGGGGGGGGGGGGGTGACACCATAAATAATTTTAACAAGAAAATCTGACTTTTCAGTTTAAAACGTATTAAAATTAGATACATAAACACTTGGCAAAATTATACAGAATAGGTTGACACAAACTGCCTCTACTATATTGTTACTCTATCATATATGTCGTTGGCGGAGATGGTGAGTGACACCCTGCCACCCTAGTTGGTGACACCACTGAATCTGGTGCCACCACTAAATCTGGTGACACCACTAAATCTGGTGACACCACTGAATCTGGTGACACCAGTGAATCTGGTGACACCAGTGAATGTGGTGACACCACTGAATCTGGTGACACAACTGAATCTGGTGACACCAGTGAATCTGGTGACACCAGTGAATGTGGTGACACCACTGAATCTGGTGACACAACTGAATCTGGTGACACAACTGAATCTGGTGACACCAGTGAATCTGGTGACACCAGTGAATCTGGTGACACCACAAAATGTAAGTCTGCTGACTTAGTTTTCCTGAGAACGTTTAGTACTGAAGCGTGGCTGTATCATAATCAATGTTTGACATTCTTGTGTGGGCCAACAAAATAGCTTTTAAAATATCACTGCAGTTCGTGAGAGTCATCCAACATACTTCCGTTTGCTTTCGGGATTTTAGTTTCGTTTTTCAGGATCTCGATATCAAACGTGGTTTACTTAGAGCACTAGTGTAGTGTCGTGTGTTGTTTAAAACACTTCATTGTAGTTATATTTTGAGCATGAATTCATTTTATTGAACCATGTTTTATAGATTTGTATTTCGCTAATCGGCATATTATCTTATGGAGTCTCGATGGTGCTGACGACACAATCATTCACGTAAACCGCTTCCAACGTTTAATTATTTGTTTTATATGTAACAAGTCTCCGATCACAGTTTCACGCATTAAAATAAGAAACAACTAGTGATAGGCTAGAGAATGACCTCAGCATTATCCAACCTTGTCTACATTTCGTTTAGTAATTTTTCATCCCTAGTCGACAGTCAATGAATAACCTATGTGATCGCACGAAAATAGACCTTTTATTTCAAGGGGCGGTGTGATCTAATGATAGAACATTCGACTGCTAACACGAAAGTCTCGAGTTCGGATCCCTGCCTAGAGCCCGGACAACGTCCCTGGGTCGACCCAGTTCTGATGGGTACCTAACTTACGTTAGGAAAACTAAAAACACCAGAGCACAGTGCTGACCATACTATCCCTATACGTGTTAGGTCACTCAAACAGGCGATCCCTACCTCACCTACCCCATAAAATAATACTTGTTTTTTATACCTTTTAATCTACTGCTATTATTTTTCTTCTTGATAGGAAAATAGGAAAAAAATCACAAATCAAGACCTTAACAATCTGATCGTTGTTCTGCATGATTGAACAATGAACCGCCAGGTGTCCCACGAGCAGCACCAGTGCAGCGACAACTGCACGACGTTCCTCGAGTACGTCGCTAAAGGAGACATCCGTCACGTCAAGCACATGCTTCACATTAAAGGCATCTACTCACACGCCGACGGCAGAGGCTGGACTGGGCTCATGATTGCCGCGGAGATAGGCTACACCCACATCGTCAAACTGTTGCTAAAACAGCCGGGGATAGAGAAAGCTAAAGCGAACGTCCAAGGATGCACAGCGCTCATGATAGCCGCTAGATTCGGGTTGTATGACATTGTTAAGCTGCTGACTCAGAACAATAATGAGAGTCTGGTAGAAAACAGTGAAGGGGATACTGCTCTAACCGTGGCCTCGGCGTTCGGGCATTACAAGGTGGTCAAGCATTTGTTGAAGCTGGGGTATAGCGTGGATAAAGAGAACAAGCACGGATGGACGTCGTTGATAGCAGCGTCGTTCCATGGATACTACGACGTGGTCAAGATATTGCTGGAGAAAAAAGCCAGCGTCAACCACAGCGAACACAACGGTTGGACTGCGGTCATGTTTGCCGCGTATAACGGACATTGTAAAATTGTCGACATTCTGATCAGAAAAGAGGCTGAAATCAACATAAGTGGGGATGTTGCATTGTCTCCGCTCTACCTTGCGACTAGAAATCGCCACCAAAATATTGTTGAGCTTTTGTTGAAGCACAAAGCGAATGTGAACAGCCGCAACCGGGACGGTTGGACAGCCCTGTTGTTGGCTGTCGATAACAACGACGAGGAGATGACGGATTTTTTTTTAAAACACAAAGCAGACGCCAACCAGGCAAATGATAAAGAGTTATCCCCCTTGCTCGTCGCGTCGTACTACGGCAATGAGAAAATTGTCAGGATTTTGATACAGCATAAAGCTGTCATTAATCACGAAGATGCGTCCGGTCGAACAGCTCTAATTATAGCGTCAGGTCAAGGTCATCTGAAAACCGTGAAAGTTCTGTTGCAAAACGGAGCGGATGTCAACAAACACACGGACGTCAAATGGAATGCTTTGATGTTCGCCGCGAAGAGGCGGCACCACAAGATTGTATCCCTGTTGCTCCAACACAGGGCAGACGTGTTCATGGTGAACAAAAATGACTCCACGGCTCTGATGGTGGCGTCGCAGGAGGATGAGCCGCGCTCAGTGCAGGCTCTGATTGAGCACGGGTCAAACGTCCACCACAGTAACGTCACCGGCTGGACGGCGCTGTGTGTGGCCGCCGAGAAAGGCCTGGACGAGATCGTGAAGATCCTGCTCAAGCACCACGCCAACGTCAAGTACGAGAACAAGAAAGGCTGGACGGCCCTGCTGCTGGCTGCCCAGAACGGCCACACCACCACCGTCAACCTTTTACTCGAAGACTACGCCGAGGTGAATAAAGTCAGCCATAACGGCCTGACAGCGCTCATGCTGGCCGCGTACAAAGGTCACGTTGACACGGTGGAGGTTTTACTCAAGCATGACGCTGATATCCACTACACCAACAAAAATCTCCAGACGGCGCTGACGTCAGCAGCCATTGCTGGACACGCCGGCATCGTCAAGCTGATCATGGACCACTGTACCAAAAAACAGATCCAATGTACCGGTCTCAAGAGGTCGCTGTTCTACGCCGCCTGCAATGATCATGCTGACGTCATTGACGCCTTGTGTCGAAACACCGACATCGACTTAAACTTAATCCAAGACCAGGGAAGGAACGCCCTCATCATCGCCTGCGCTAAAGGACACTTGAACATCGTATCGAAACTAATCGACCACGGATGTGACGTCAATTTACTCGTATCCAATCCCAGTTTTCCCGAAATGTCTCCAGAGTTTCAGAAAGCTAAAGATGCTGCAATAGAAAATGGAACTTTAGTCTCGGCAGTTCCAATCCATGTTTGTGTATACTTTAACCACGTTGAATGTCTAATGGCACTATTAAATGCAGGCGCCGATGTCAACAGAAAGAACGATTATGACGTCACTGCTCTCATGATTGCACATAAAAAAGGTCAGAGCGACCTTGCCAAACTTCTACTTGACCACCAAGCCTCAGATGTGGACCCCCCGACTGACTGCAAAGATCCATTTCTCGTATCCCAGGTTAGTGTGACGCATACAAACGCTCTGGTAGAGAAAACAGCGACAGAACGGGCCAGCACGTTGCCTTCAACTTCCCGACAAGCTGACGATGGCGTTATACCAACCACTGGCCGGTTGATTTCTCAAGCAATATCCGCCAGTCCTGGTAAGTACATACTTATACTAACGTATTTTAAAAAATAAGTTGTATTTTAAGGGCTGAAATGTATGCACATGATCGAGTGATTCAACGATTGACTTCTAGCATTAAAGTCTTGAGTTCGAATCTCGGTCCGGAATCGCGAAAGCCTGACAAATTGAGTCCACGCAGCTCTGATGGGTACCTGACACACGTTAGAGGAAATTCAAAACGGCGGGATTGTTAGATTAGAAAGAGTAACTTCGTCATCTTCGTTCTTAATTTTAGTGATGGAAGGGATTCCCTTCAGCACAATTAAGTATTAATTATCAACAGGTTATGCATCATTTACGCCGTTGACATTTGTGAAGCCATATTTTAAAATAAAATCACTAAGTTCTTAAATTGTCTAAAAAGCCGGGCTTCAAACAGTTATAGTTAGCACACAGTGTGTTATTTCGTTACGCTAATTACAACTTGCTTGTGGTTGTAGAGTGAAATTAATGTCGTACATCGAATATGAGGAGACCATTTGCTAAACTTACTAAGTCCATATTTTGAAAAAACATAAGTTACTCTTATAGCCTTCATAATATACTGGCAATTAAAGTAGTATAATAATTTTTGTTTTAAAAGTTATATATTTTTATAAATTATGAAATAGTTAAATGTCGAAAATCTTAAGAATAGTGAATTAAAAAATGTATAAGTCGATTTTCTGACATAACCAAATTATATATTGCATGTATTGTTTCATTTATATGCATATGATATTGTTTATATTACAACTGATTTAAACAAATTATTTTGAATTAATTAGCTTTATTAATTATGATACCATAAAAGCGAAACTAAAATAGTTTTATACGTCTAAAAATAATTACTGATTTCATTTTCAATAAAATTACAGGAGGTTTGAAAGAAAATATTTTCAATCGTGCAGTGCATCAAGAAAGTGGGTAAGAAACAGTTTATTCATTTTACCCAGGAAAATGTTGTTTTCATAAAACCAGGTAATATACTAGCCTTGTTATACAAGAACTGATAATAACACACTTAAAGAAAAACGCGAGTGAGTGTTAGGCACCTCTATAAGCGTGCTTGAACCCAGATCTAGCCAGTCATACAAACACACACACACACACACACCTCTATAAGCGTGCTTGAACCCAGTTCTAGCCAGTCATACAAACACACACACACACTTCTGTAAGCTGCTTGAACCCAGTTCTATCCAACCATACAAACACACACACTTCTGTAAGCTGCTTGAACCCAGTTCTAGCCAGCCATACAAACACACACACACACTTCTGTAAGCTGCTTGAACCCAGTTCTAGCCAGCCATACAAACACACACACACTTTTGTAAGCTGCTTGTACCCAGTTCTAGCCAGCCATACAAACACACACACACACTTCTGTAAGCTGCTTGAACCCAGTTCTAGCCAGTCATACAAACACACACACACTTTTGTAAGCAGATTGTACCCAGTTCTAGCCAGCCATACAAACACACACACACACTTTTGTTAGCGTGCTTGAAGCCAGTTCTAGCCAGTCATACAAACACACACACACACTTCTGTAAGCTGCTTGAACCCAGTTCTAGCCAGTCATACAAACACACACACACACTTCTGTAAGCGTGCTTGAACCCAGTTCTAGCCAGTCATACAAACACACACACACACTTCTAGCCAGTCATACAACCACACACACACACTTCTGTTAGCGTGCTTGAACCCAGTTCTAGCCAGTCATACAAACACACACACACACACTTCTAGCCAGTCATACAACCACACACACTTCTGTTAGCGTGCTTGAACCCAGTTCTAGCCAGTCATACAAACACACACACTTCTGTTAGCGTGCTTGAACCCAGTTCTAGCCAGTCATACAAACACACACACTTCTGTAAGCGTGCTTGAACCCAGTTCTAGCCAGTCATACAAACACACACACACACACTTCTAGCCAGTCATACAACCACACACACACTTCTGTTAGCGTGCTTGAACCCAGTTCTAGCCAGTCATACAAACACACACACTTCTGTTAGCGTGCTTGAACCCAGTTCTAGCCAGTCATACAAACACACACACTTCTGTAAGCGTGCTTGAACCCAGTTCTAGCCAGTCATACAAACACACACACACACACTTCTAGCCAGTCATACAAACACACACACTTCTAGTCAGTCATACAACCACACACACTTCTGTAAGCTGCTTGAACCCAGTTCTAGCCAGTCATACAAACACACACACACACACTTCTGTAAGCGTGCTTGAACCCAGTTCTAGCCAGTCATACAAACACACACACTTCTGTTAGCGTGCTTGAACCCAGTTCTAGCCAGTCATACAAACACACACACACCTCTATAAGCGTGCTTGAACCCAGTTCTAGCCAGTCATACAAACACACACACACCTCTATAAGCGTGCTTGAACCCAGTTCTAGCCAGTCATACAACCACACTGTACCAAACTTCCATCCCCCCAGGCACACGGAAAGGACTGTTGACATTTCAAAGAAGGGATCCCTCATCTTGCACAACCCCATCGAGTCCAGCCAGAAGGTTGACAAGTGGTTGAAAGCACACATCAACCCGGACACATCCTACAGCAGCGATTACGAATCGGACATCGACTTACAGTCGCAAAGTTTTACTGAATACATTATGGTATAATTATGCTAATACATGCACAAACACTCACCAACTCAAACGTATCAACATGATTATGGTACAATGGAATCCATCATTCTGCTCAACATAATTCAGTTCACCCATAGATATACGAGCTGTCGAAAATTTCATTTGAAAATCGAGCGAAATTTGAGATACCAGATTAGCGGGTTTAACAGTTTGTGGAACATAGAACACCCCGAAATTATTGTGCAAGGAGACTATATTTATAATGACACCTAACAAATTTACGGAACATTGTGAAGCTACTTCACCTACCTACTCCACCCTACACTTGGCCTACAACTCCACCAGCATTTCCCATAAGCTCAAGTTGACCGAGAGGCGTAGCGACCCTTCCCGGCACCCGGGGACAAACTTTCGATTTGCACCCCCCCCCTCAAAATTTTCATTTGCACCCCCCCCCCCCCTCAAACTTTCAATTTGGCGCCCCCCCCCCCCTAAGGTCGGCACCCGGCGACATATGCCCCCCCCCCCCCCCCCCCCCTCGCTACGCCTCTGAGTTGACCCATTGTCAAAAGTAAATACACTACATAAAACCAGTTTATTTCTTTGTATTTTCTTTATTATGTTATTAAACAAAATTTGTTATGTATAAACATATTTTTAATTAAAATAAAACACCCGGGCCCTACAAAGAACAATTGGGTTGATTTTTGGGTACTAGAATGGATTAATGGCATTTCAATTGATTTTAATGGAGAAAATTGCTTTGAAATTCGAGTAAAGAAGGTTATTGTCGGTCACTATCTATTGAGTTCTTCAATGAATCTTCTTCAGATTAGAAATAAAAATATTTCTTAATTTTTATAATCAATTGATTGATAAATAGTTCCGTTTTTATTGAAATGTTTAACATTTTTTTGACAAATATGTTGACCTATTTACTTTTCTTTGATCTCAGTTTTATCGTTTTGCTAATCAAATTGTATGTTTAAACAACAGTTGAACAAATCGCAGTAAAATATAATCTTCTTCTGATCTTTTTTGTGTTTATATTTAGATCTCTCGGTGATGTAAAATAAATTGAAAACTGCTTGCTTTCTCTCCTCAAACTACCATTGTTGCTGTTTTATAAGTTTTATTTTTTATTTTAATAAAATTTAACCAAACCGCAGCAGTTTCTGTCATTTATTAAGTTGAAATCCACTAATTTCCTAATGTCTCTGTTAATATAATGTTTATTATCGAACGTTGGAAGATATTTACATTTTTTAAACAAATATCTAAATTCGCAAGCCTAACATCTAAAAATTGCCATAATCATTATTTTCTAATTATCTGTTATTTAAATAGCATTATGGTTTTTCAAAATTATTAATTGCTAAAATACAGTTTAGGCATATAAAAATTAATAGACATTTTCCTAAAAGAAATTAAGTAACTATGGCAAGCTGTATTTAACTTTTTTATTTAAAATATTTGCACTAAAATAACACCGTGACTAAAAGATTGTTTAAAACTGTTACATTTTAAAATGTTATAACAATAGTAATTTTAAGATATAGGCCTACAAAAATAAAAAAAAATCCTTTATAATAACAAGCTATATAATGCTCTAAAAATAAGAAAATAAAATACACTTGCTTCCTTTAATCAAAGTTTTGGTCTTACATATTTTAGAGACCAAAGCTTTTATTAAAGACGTTTTTTTCCCCACGTTGTAGTCATTCGTTTTAAATTAAATTGACACTAAACAGGCTAAGATTTAAAATATTTGCGATCCATAACCCTGAAAGACAGCTGCGTTTAAAAGTGGGTCAAAACTAACATATACAATTTTCCAAATCTAATAAACAAAGAAAAAACAAGCAATCAGACTGACTGAAATAAATAAAAGCTTAAATTAGAATGGCGCTGGGTAGGCCATGATTTAAGGGTTAGACCAGATCAAAGGAATGGATGTCGTAAAGGTAAATAAGACAGAAAGTACCCATGGAAACGTAGTCAAAGACAGTAAAAAACATAAAAAACTGACAGTACCCGGACTATCTCTAAGAATTGTAAAGAAAGTTGTCGTAGACCCGCAAAAGTAGAGAAAATAAATAAAAAATGTGTGGCGGCCCTAGGAGCCCTGGGTACTGGAGCGAGAAGATGGGGTCTATGCTTTACACCTGTCATACCTTTGCTAAAAAAATCTCATGTGCTGTATAATTAGGTTCAATGTAAATATTTGCACTACGGGCGAGGTCTTGTGAGAAGGGTCGCTGATTCAACTGGTAGAAAAAAAATTGTTTCGATTTTAAAAGGAAGAGAAGGGGGAATTTGAAACAACTTCACATGCGAAAACAGTTAAGTATCATGTATTAATAGATCTATCAGTCACCTACCCCCTCTTTTCATTCTTTAAAATTATTTTTGGTAACCTGAAATAATCGAGTTCGTAAGACTTCCTGTTCACCCAGTATAGCTCTACTTTATCTGCACCGGCGACCGCCAAGTTCGAAAAGGTAACTTTAGTGACTTACTTTTATAGAAGGTGTTAAAGTTTTGGGATTGTACAAAATGTGGATTTATCAAGTTTTGCCCTCAGTATAAAAATATATACAACAGATTCAGATAAACGGATGAAATCAAAGATAACGTGAGAATAGAATTTAAATCCTGTCCCATGATTTTGTTCCACATCTGGTAATTATTTTATTAATTCTATATTTTTTTGTCATTTCCTCGGCTTTTTCTTAAAAGGGGGGGGGGGGAGATATATAGGATATGGTATATAAAGGTTAGGTTTAACTAAAGCACCAGCTTAGCTACGGATAGGCAAAAAAACGATACTCGGTCTAGACTTAGCTCTTTCTGTTATTCATGTTCACACAGTTTGTAATTTTTTTTACTTAAACATTTTTAAAAGCTGTCTTCGCTATAATTGTAAACACTTTTTTTAAACCGCCAACAACACATACATTAAACTATCGATTAAATTAAGAACATCAATCTAAAATACAACCAGCGACCAACGTTTGGTGGGAAATACCCAGGAAAATGTCGGGTTTGAAGCCCGTCTTCTCACGTAATGTTATTGACTCAGATACCATGTCTACAAATCCTAGCGGGCCTTCGTGTCTACAAATCCAAAGTATGATCTTGTATTCCCAAACCCGTTTAGAAGGTCCCCCCAGTGTCGTATTACAAACACACAGTCCAACACACACACACACACACACACACACACACACACACACAAGGATGCTACAGACAGACAGGATGTGGGTTTTCATGTTCTGTTGGTTTTCTTTTCGCCCGGTAACTAGAATCTGGCAAGGGGAATCCCGTACACGATTTTATATTAGGCTGCTGAAAGGTGGGTTCTGTACACGATACTTAAACACGCCGTGGTCATTCAAGACTCAGCTTCCAACAAGTGATTAGGCCAGGTTTTTTCTTAAAGGTAAGCTCAATTTTAACATTATATATATATATATATATATATATATATATATATATATATATATATATATATATATATATATATATATATATATATATATATATAGGCCTATATTTATATATGTATATATTTATAAGGTATCAAATAGTATACTGTAAAACATGCATAATGTTGAGATTTCCAAACATAACAAAATGTTCATAAATATCTCTAATAACTTAGCAAATGTTCGTGTGTGTTTAACAAAACTATTGGTTTCTGCACACATGTTTAACTGCTTGTTCTCCTTGCTACCATTACATTCCCACATTAAACAGATTCCCACATTTCACAGATTCCCCATTTCACAGATTCCCACATTTCAAATATTCCCACATTTCACAGATTCCCACATTTCCCAGATTTCCACATTTCACAGATTCCCACATTTCACAGATTTCCACATTTTACAGATTCCCCCATTTCATAGATTACCACATTCCACAGATTCCCATATTTCACAGATTCCCACATTTCACAGATTCCCACACCATGTCGTCAGCCAGAAAAGCACATTATCAGAACGGGCTCCACATATGCACCGATAAATGCAAGAAACTTATGCTGTTTGTCTCTAACAAACAATGTGTACAGGAGTTGAAGAGTCTGCTAACTCAGGGCGTTGATCTACGTCACACTGACGAGCAGGGGTGGACAGCCCTGCACTACGCGGCTAAAGCCAACGTAGCTGAAGCTGTTGAGGTTCTGGTTAGGTATGGCGTGGGTGTTGACGTCGTTGACAAGAAGGGGGCCACGCCTCTGATGGTCGCGTGCATGGAGAATCACGTGCATGTTGTCGAGCTGCTACTGAGGCTGGGGGCACAGGTGGAGCACGCCGACCCCGCGGGTCAGACTGCTGTCATGTGCGCGGCTGAAAAAGGTCATTTTGCTGTGGTGATGATTCTCATCGACCACAAGGCTGACATCAACAGGGCGAGTAAACAAGGCTACACGCCGCTGATGCTGGCGTCCAAGAACAGAAGTTCTAGAACGGTCGAACTGTTACTGAAGCATGGCGCCAGGATTGATTGCAGAAGTGAGCGTGGTTGGAACGCCATGCTTTTAGCAACCCTTAGCAACGATCCGTTTTTGGTGAATTTAATGCTGCAAGCGGGTTGTCAAATAAACGACGTGTCGTCCGATGGCTGGACCAACCTTCACCTTGCTGCTAAAAACGGAAACCAGGAACTGGTTGATAAATTTATCAAGAAATGCCCGGATGTCAACGTGCGCAACAAAAACGACTGGACTCCGTTAATGTTAGCAACACAAAACGGACATTTGGAGACCGTCAAAAAATTGATCCAGTGTAAAGCGGACCCAGCGCTTAGAAGTCGCAAAAGGGAAACAGCCGTAATGATAGCGGCACGGAAGGGACACACAGATATCCTCAACTTCCTGATCACGAATGACGTCAGCAAACGGGCCGAGAATGAAAAAGACGCGCTAGTCAGTGCCGCTCAAAATGGCTCTTTGGAGGCTGCCAGATACGTTCTAGAAAACTTGAACCCTGCCTGCCGGGGAAAGAGACCCGCCCTACTCCAGGCCGCTTACAACGGCCACGATACTCTCGTTGATTATTTGTGTCAAAAAGGCACTGACGTCAACTACAAGGAGCGGGACGGATGTGACGCCATGATGCTGGCATGCGTGAAAGGTCACGACATGGTCGTCTGCAAACTAGCAGCAAATGGTGCCGATGTGAACAAAGCTTACGACATTTCTCCCTCTGCTAAACTTTTCGTCAAAGCTTTCAATGTAACTACAACTCCATCCGGAGCAGCCTCCGTTTCTCTAACCCCGCTGTTGTGTTGTATTTTATTCGGGAACTTGCGCTGTGTTGACACGTTGATAAGTTTAAAATGTGATGTCAACAAAGCCAACAGTTACGGCACGACACCGGTCGCCCTCGCTCAACATCTGACCAACACAGTTGTGGTGGCTAAACTACATCAGCATGGGGCTAAGCGGGGTGGGGGCGGGGTGGGACGGTCATGTGATCCTCTGTACAACATGAAAACTGTTGAGAGGGCGTACACTGACGCAGATATTGACACTGACGCTACTACGTGGAGTGACGCAACCCAGCAGAAAGAAATAGCCATCGAGCATCAGACGCTCATCAAATCGCCGTCCACCACTTATGGTAGTAGAAAGACAACATCATCAAGTGGTGGTAGGACGCCAGCATCATCAAGTGGTGGTAGGACGCCAGCATCATCAGGGTATGCTACTGCGTCAACACCTACCAGCCACGAAACAGTTCCCAAACTCACAGGTAACAGCAACATTAAATCATAATTATACGCAACAATACTTTCGTTAGCATATAGATCTGGAATAAAACAACTTTTTTATCAGTATAAATAACCACAACCACATTTACATACAACTTCACCAACACCTAGGACCTTCATCTTAACCAACACAATCCACAACTGGACGAACGGTTCCATGACAAATGATCTCAGGACAAAATATCCCAGACAAAATATCCCAGACAAAATATCCCAGACAAAATATCCCAGACAAAATATCCCAGACAAAATATCCCAGACAAAATATCCCAGACAAAATATCCCAGACAAAATATCTCAGACAAAATATCCAGACAAAATATCCAGACAAAATATCCAGACAAAATATCCCAGACAAAATATCCAGACAAAATATCCCAGACAAAATATCCCAGACAAAATATCCCAGACAAATTATCTCAGGAAATGATCAAGTACATAATTATGATATCTACGGCATATGATCTCGAGAAAAAATGATCTCAAGGACATATTATTATCATCTCATGGACAAAAGACATTTTGTCTGAGATCATTTCTCCTGTCACGGTACGAACTCTCTCAAATATACAACTACACTGACCTCACAAAACCCAACATCAACAACAACATAAAATATACAACTACACTGACCACACACAACCTAACATCAACAACAACATAAAATATACAACTACATTGACCACACACTAGGCATCATCAACTAGATAATTATACAACCAGTCACCAGAAATATCTTCATACAGATGAACAGAAGGCAGATAGCAGCACGACGCTCCCTAAAGTGCTAGACGATCTGCCTGCAGGTGCATCTAATGGAAGAGCTGACCACCAGCAGACGATACCAAAACAACCAGACACCAGACACAGCAACAACCCGACTTCACCCAAGCCCAAGTAAGCTATACTTGCTTCTAGTCGGTACAGGTCCAAGTAAGCAACACTAAACTTACTTCTAGTCGGTACAGGTCCAAGTAAGCAACACTAAACTTACTTCTAGTCGGTACAGGTCCAAGTAAGCAACACTAAACTTACTTCTAGTCGGTACAGGTCCAAGTAAGCAACACTAAACTTACTTCTAGTTTGGTACAGGGCGTAGGCAGAGAATAATAGCGTCAATACACACTCACCCCCAAGAGACTCCCAAACTAACTTACGCATTCACTGGCTTTAAATTTCTAACTTTCGAATGTCATAAACTCTCAATCATAGGTTCGAGTATTAACTTATTATGGAATGACTTTGTAATATATATATATATATATATATATATATATATATAAAGCCTCCATAACTAAACACTGCTCAAGCCATTAAGTTTGTCTTAAGTGATCAGCAGAAATGTATTTATCTATAACCGCTTTAAAAATATGGCAATATAAGAGCAACAAAAATATTTTTGATAATGTCAATTTTTTTTTAAACGATTCACTTTCCTATACTTTGTAACCAAATTATTTTAATTTATCTCAAATGGAAAACGATATGTTTACGTGGGGATAATAGTATCAATTATAAATAGCTCGATAGATATTTCATTTAGAGAAAGGTATGAACTGATTGTGTTAAGAATTTTAGCTGTCTATATCTCGCATAAAGACAAAATTTTGTACCAGCTGGCACCTTTAAGTTCAAGGACACCTAATTAATGTAGGTCAACCTGGTCTAAATTAGAACCGTTTTTAACACGGTGTTTCATTTTTTTCTAAGTTATTAATTAGTCAAATATTTTTAATTGTCAACTGTTTTAAATTTTCTAGGTTTGAAAGCATGAACATGGAAGACTTTCTACAATCACCTCGGTCTCCGGTAAACTACCACATGTAAGTTTTAATTTACCTGTTCAGCCAATCAATGTTGGTCTTACAAAAGTGAAACATCCGTTTATAACTTGGGCTTGATGAAAATAAATAGAAATGTAGACGTAAACTCAAAAATTTATTTTCAAGTTTTCTGGATTCGCAACTTTTATAAGATTTATTCTATCAATTGTACATTTCAAAATTATTTTTACTCCTAAGTTTTTATCTTTTATTTTTTTAAGTCAAAATATTTAAAAAAAAACCATTTTTTCCGTGTCAACAATATGATAGAAGGATTCTCGTCAACTCGGTGGCCTCCATTCGACGTTCTTTAGACGGTTGTTTAGGACAGGGCCTGCGTTAGGGTAAAAATAGGAGCAGGAAACTGAATAATGTCTATATGGGGCTTGAGAACGGTACTGTGTGTAAGTGTGTGTGTGTATGTATTTGTGTGTGTGTAAGTGAGTCAGTGTAAGTGTGTGAGTGAGAATTTGTGTGTGCGTTGTGTGAGTGAGTGTTTTGGACAGATGTGTGTGTAGTATGTTGTTTGTGTGTATGTGTTTGCGTGCTTGTGTGTGTATGTGTGAAGCTGTGAAGAAGAGGAACCAAAAAAATACGAGAAAATAAAAATCCTAACATTTTATTACACCGATGTGCTGCAGTGCTAACAATCACGAAACCGGTTAAATTTCCTGTGGGGACGCGTCCGATGGTGACCCCTACGATGTGCATGACTGACTGGTGACACCTCTGATGTGCATGACTGACTGGTGACACCTCTGACGTGCATGACTGACTGGTGACACCTCTGATGTGCATGACTGACTGGTGACACCTCTGACGTGCATGACTGACTGGTAACACCTCCGATGTGCATGACTGACTGGTGACACCTCCGATGTGCATGACTGACTGGTGACACCTCTGATGTGCATGACTGACTGGTGACACCTCCGATGTGCATGACTGACTGGTGACACCTTCAATGTGCATGACTGACTGGTGACACCTCTGATGTGCATGACTGACCGTCTAACAATGTTGTTGTTGCAGACATCTGGTGGTGGAGTCTGTGGGAAACTTGGCCATAGGGGGCAGCACCATCAACATAGAGACCCAGAGCAAGGACGAGGACTGCAATCCAGAGTAGCTTCCCTTGATTTGAAACAGTGCGGTTAATTCCCCTAATTCCAGATAGTGTGATTAGTACCCCTGATGGGAAATTTAGAGAGATTTATTACAAAATGTTTTTAATTTTTAGTTGCATTTTTCTAATTATTTTATGTTCCACATTAATTAAAGTGACAAAATATATTTTTTTTCTGCAAATCATTGTTTTACATTTATATTGCTGTGCTTTAAATGCTCGTTTTTTTATTAAACAATCGGCACAGTGATATTAGAAAGTCAGATATGAAGCTCACTTACTTTTAATGTCAAGGTTACTATAGATGTCACGACTACCATAGACCTAATAGTAAGTAAAATATCTGCGGTCACCATTTAAAATTACTTGGTGTCTAACACTCAGAACAAAAAGGAGACACCTTCAAGTTAACTTCAGTATTTTATTAATCAGACAGCACAGACAGAGTTTCTTCGAGCATCTCTTCGAAGAAAAAATGTTGACCGCCCCCCCCCCCCCCCACCAGAAAATTTCAAAAGCCCCCCCCCCCCCTCCGGAGAAAAAAGTCTGGAAGAAGCACTGAGCGCAGACGACACGTTTTGTCTCCAGCTCCATCATAGTTAACACACAACACAGCTACACACCAGCACGGTAAACAGAATGAACATTCAAAGGGACATAACCACGATTTAAATATTACAAGGGACGTAACAATAACTAAACACGACATGGGTTACAATTACATGGTGAATTTATATGACATCGAAAAACTTCTCTTGAACGAAAGCCACACCCAGGTAAAAGGGAGACGATTGAAAAAAATCTATCTATCTATATATATAATTCTCCTCTTCGAGCCGTTAGAAAACAAGCTGCAAACGCTCTCCCTACCTCCCCACCCCTACATGGTTTTAGTGAGCTGTGTTCACTCTAAATGTTTACAAGCAGAGCCAACGATTTTAAACGTAGGGGGGGGGGGGGGGGAAGGAAGGGAAGGGGGGGTTATGGTCCTTAACGAGCTACTTATAGTGTTTTAAAGAAATATTTTCAGTGTCAGCGTTGGTACTGTCGAATTCACAAATTATGAATTATTGAAAATTAGAAACAACTAAATAGCGGCGTATGTTATGCCGCGGGCCGGCTCGTATTATATATTTTGCTACCAAGTTCTGTTTCCTTAAAGGTGATTCGTTTAGTTATTAGTAGTTTGACGAACGGTGATTTGTACATTTTATTGTATAGGGATTTTTCATCACTATTTAGTAATTCAGATACTTTCTAGAGTATTTTATTGAAGTGAACATTTGGTTTAATTGTATAGACGGAATCTACTAGATGTTATTCCCCTCCCCACATGTTTTCAACAAAAATTCTAATCACTGCCATTAGAAATTCCTGATTAATACAGCGACCTCAGTGATTTTAGTAATCAATGCTGTCTAATTTATAACATAAGCTCCCAAAAATAACAAATTTCGCTTATTATTTACTAATTTGACATCGATTTTCTCAGTTAATTTTACACTAACATTCCGACCATTGAGTATTTTCTACAGCCACTGTGTTATTAATATCAGTGTCAACATATGACGTAACTCAACTGTTTGTCAGTGTGTTTCATAGAACTGACATTTTTGACAGGAAGTAAACAGGTCAAATTCAATGTCAGCTGTTCTAGATCCTCTTTCTAAACCTGTTATTCGTGATTGCCATTTAAATTATGTGCTGACTATTTATATAGTTATATGCTCTATCCAGTAATGAATAAACCAAAGCAGACACAAACAGTTTAATGGATGCTAACATACCTGAGCTGAGGGATTTGAGGTGTGTGACCTACTTAGGTCTAGTAATGTTTTATTTTTAGTTTGACATTGTTATAATACCATATATGGTCGATGGTGCAACAACCGGGTTTTTTCCACTGTCTTACTAAGAGAGTCTAAGACGCAGAAATTTTCCATCAAGATCTGATTGATTGATTCAGACCAGATGACCACCCCAACCAATGGCCACATGAGTTGAGGGTAACCTCCCCTGTTGCCTAAGTCTATAACTAGATCGCCCACAGGCGACACGAGGCAGTCCATCTTGACCAGGCCGTCCATTTTGACCGGCACTCCATTCTGACCATTTGAACGTGAGAGAGCTTAAGTCCTGAGTGTGCTATGCATTCTTAAGTTGTTTAAATATTCTAGTATTATATTACTTGTGGCCAAGTAATTCTTGATGCTATAGCAGTGTTGTGTGACCTGTGGCTATTTTTATACAGTGTTAGAATCTGTGATAGTATTTTTTTCTTACGCTTTGTAAGTTGGGTTTTGTTATTTTCTAAACTAAATATTTTATCTTGTTTAACCTTGTGTTCTGCCACAACTGTGTTCACTTATTAAAGGTTGTATGCAGATTGAATGAGTTGTTAACTTCAATAGTTTCACTAGTTTTCCCTAGACATCGAAATCGAGCCCTAGTGTGTTGTTGAGTTAGTGTTCATTCATTTAGGCTTTAGGTCATTTGCATATAACCCCAAGAAAGAATCCGGGGGCGTTCACCATCTATCTGGCTGGTAGATAGGTGTCCGTTACAGGTGGCTCGCGTTTTACTGACGTTAGCCTTGAGAAGTGACCCATGTCCGTTAGAGAATCGACTTAAGGAATGTGACCGGTGTCCTAAAGAATCGGCCTGAGAAATGTGACCCATGTCCGTTAGAGAATCGGCCTGAGAAATGTGACCCATGTCCGTTAGAGAATCTACCTGAGAAATGTGACCCATGTCCGTTAGAGAATCTACCTGAGAAATGTGACCCATGTCCGTTAGAGAATCGGCCTGAGAAATGTGACCCATGTCCGTTAGAGAATCTACCTGAGAAATGTGACCCATGTCCGTTAGAGAATCTACCTGAGAAATGTGACTCATGTCCGTTAGAGAATCTACCTGAGAAATGTGACCCATGTCCGTTAGAGAATCTACCTGAGAAATGTGACCCATGTCCGTTAGAGAATCTACCTGAGAAATGTGACCCATGTCCGTTAGAGAATCTACCTGAGAAATGTGACCCATGTCCGTTAGAGAATCGGCCTGAGAAATGTGACCCATGTCCGTTAGAGAATCTACCTGAGAAATGTGACCCATGTCCGTTAGAGAATCGGCCTGAGAAATGTGACCCATGTCCGTTAGAGAATCTACCTGAGAAATGTGACCAGGGTCCTAAAGAATCGGCCTGAGAAATGTGACCCATGTCCGTTAGAGAATCTACCTGAGAAATGTGACCCATGTCCGTTAGAGAATCTACCTGAGAAATGTGACTCATGTCCGTTAGAGAATCTACCTGAGAAATGTGACCCATGTCCGTTAGAGAATCTACCTGAGAAATGTGACCCATGTCCGTTAGAGAATCTACCTGAGAAATGTGACCGACGTCCTAAAAATGTGGGCTTAGTGTGTGAAATGTGACCGATGTCTTACTAATGTCGTGAACTTAAAGCTAAACAAAGAATTCTACAAAACAAAAGAATGAAGAATGTGACCAGGGTCCTAAAGAATCTGCCTGAGAAATGTGACCCATGTCCGTAAGAGAATCTACCTGAGAAATGTGACCCATGTCCGTAAGAGAATCTACCTGAGAAATGTGACCCATGTCCGTTAGAGAATCTACCTGAGAAATGTGACCCATGTCCGTTAGAGAATCTACCTGAGAAATCTGACCGGTGTCCTAAAGAATCGGCCTGAGAAACGTGACCCATGTCCGTAAGAGAATCTACCTGAGAAATGTGACCCATGTCCGTTAGAGAATCTACCTGAGAAATGTGACCCATGTCCGTTAGAGAATCTACCTGAGAAATGTGACCGACGTCCTAAAAATGTGGGCTTAGTGTGTGAAATGTGACCGATGTCTTACTAATGTCGTGAACTTAAAGCTAAACAAAGAATTCTACAAAACAAAAGAATGAAGAATGTGACCAGGGTCCTAAAGAATCTGCCTGAGAAATGTGACCCATGTCCGTAAGAGAATCTACCTGATAAATGTGACCCATGTCCGTTAGAGAATCTACCTGAGAAATGTGACCCATGTCCGTTAGAGAATCTACCTGAGAAATGTGACCCATGTCCGTTAGAGAATCTACCTGAGAAATCTGACCGGTGTCCTAAAGAATCGGCCTGAGAAATGTGACCCATGTCCGTTAGAGAATCGGCCTGAGAAATGTGACCCATGTCCGTTAGAGAATCTACCTGAGAAATGTGACCCATGTCCGTTAGAGAATCTACCTGAGAAATCTGACCGGTGTCCTAAAGAATCGGCCTGAGAAATGTGACCCATGTCCGTTAGAGAATCGGCCTGAGAAATGTGACCAATGTCCGTTAGAGAATCTACCTGAGAAATGTGACCCATGTCCGTTAGAGAATCTACCTGAGAAATGTGACCCATGTCCGTTAGAGAATCTACCTGAGAAATGTGACCCATGTCCGTTAGAGAATCTACCTGAGAAATGTGACCGATGTCCGTAAGAGAATCTACCTGAGAAATGTGACCCATGTCCGTTAGAGAATCTACCTGAGAAATGTGACCCATGTCCGTTAGAGAATCTACCTGAGAAATGTGACCCATGTCCGTTAGAGAATCTACCTGAGAAATGTGACCCATGTCCGTTAGAGAATCTACCTGAGAAATGTGACCCATGTCCGTTAGAGAATCTACCTGAGAAATGTGACCCATGTCCGTTAGAGAATCTACCTGAGAAATGTGACCGACGTCCTAAAAATGTGGGCTTAGTGTGTGAAATGTGACCGATGTCTTACTAATGTCGTGAACTTAAAGCTAAACAAAGAATTCTACAAAACAAAAATTAACATTTCCAAAAAAAGTTACAGAATGATATCCAATAAGTAGAAGCACTTTATCTTACCAGAATTAAAATTGTACAACATAGAGCTTAACATCTAAAACAAAGCTAAAATAATTATGCTTATAATGATCGAATAGCAAAATATCATGGGGGGTCGTCGGAGGAAATTTTTTTTCGTAATAGAGCTCATATAAAGAGAATTTCACTCGCGGTCACATTTTAGCCCTCGTCGAGGGCTTTGAGTGTAACCGACAGTTTTCCCTAAAGGTCAAGCCATTGACCTAGGAGCATGCAAAAAATTAGCCAGATATACTGAGCTTAAGTACCCTAAAGTCTGCGTTGAAATGACCCTCTGTTTTTCCCATAAAATACAAAGATTATATAGGGAAATACAACTGGTCAGTTTTGACCGCTTTACGAAGTTTTCCCAGATATGCCGAGTTTTTTGTGACACCCCTAGGTGTTCTTCTACCACCTCACAAAATATCAAGGGGGGTCGTCGGAGGAATTTTTTTTTCGTAATAGAGCTCATATAAAGAGAATTTCACTCGCGGTCGCTTTTTAGCCCTCGTCGAGGGCTTTGAGTGTAACCGACAGTTTTCCCTAAAGGTCAAGCCATTGACCTAGGAGCATGCAAAAAATTAGCCAGATATACTGAGCTTAAGTACCCTAAAGTCTTTGTTGAAATGACCCTCTGTTTTTCCCATAAAATACAAAGATTATATAGGGAAATACAACTGGTCAGTTTTGACCCCTTTACGAAGTTTTCCCAGATATGCCGAGTTTTTTATGACACCCCAAGGTGTTCTCCTACCACCTCAGAAAATTTCAAGGGGGGTCGTCGGAGGAATTTATTTTTCGTAATAGAGCTCATATAAAGAGAATTTCACTCGCGGTCACTTTTTAGCCCTCGTCGAGTGCTTTGAGTGTAACCGACAGTTTTCCCTAAAGGTCAAGCCATTTACCTATAAGCATGCCAAAACTGAGCCACATGTAAAGAGAGTAAGTGCCATAAAATCCGTTTTGAAATGACCCTCTGTTTTCCCCATAAAATACAAAGATTATATAGGGAAATACGACTGGTCAGTTTTGACCCCTTTCCCGATTTTTCCCGGACATGGCGAGTTTTTTGTGACACCCCAAGGCGTTCTCCTACCACCTCACAAAATATCAAGGGGGGTCGTCGGAGGAATTTTTTTTTCGTAATAGAGCTCATATAAAGAGAATTTCACTCGCGGTCACTTATTAGCCCTCGTCGAGGGCTTTGAGTGTAACCGACAGATTTCCCTAAAGGTCAAGCCATTTACCTATAAGCATGCCAAAACTGAGCCAGATGTAAAGAGCGTAAGTGCCATAAAATCCGTTTTGAAATGACCCTCTGTTTTCGCCATAAAATACAAAGATTATATAGGGAAATACAACTGGTCAGTTTTGACCCATTTCCCGATTTTTCCCGGACATGGCGAGTTTTTTGTGACACCCCAAGGTGTTCTTCTACCACCTCACAAAATATCAAGGGGGGTCGTCGGAGGAATTTTTTTTTCGTAATATAGCCCATATAAGGCGCCGGTCAGTCGAGGTCAGTTTTGACCCCCGCTCCGTAGACTTTTTGCCGAACCGTCACCGGCCCTCGTGTTCTATCGCCATAAGGCACCTTCGTGCCAAATTTGACGCGCCTGCGGCGCCGGGAAGTGCCCTATCGGGCACCCGACCACTTTGCTTTATATATATAGATTAACACAGATGAGATTATCTTCGTAACGCTGCATATCTTTAAAATTTAAAAACATGTAAAATAATTGTAGCTATAAAAACCTGAACATTTTTTCCGACTTTCCTAAAGATTATATTTATTTGATGTTTTGTTTTTTTTTGTTGTATTTAACGTAGCTATTTTTAAACTCAACAAAAACACTTTAGTTGTTCTCATTGTGTCTCAGAAAATGTAAATATACATGGCATTAATAGGTCTTGTGGCGAATTTTTTTTTATTTTATTTAAAAATTTAATCGGCAAAACTTTGAGTAGAAATGACAACAAATGGTGTTTACAGAAGATCGAACACGCAGTTTTGTAGAACCAATCAGAGCGCCTACTTACATTGCTCTATACTGTCCGGCACAAACAGTTAAATTGTCCTAAAATGTCTTATTATTTCATATTTCGTTTAAAAGTGCCCTACGCTGTCCTACGCTACCCTACACTGTCCTACACTGTCCTACACTGTCTTACACTGTCCTACACTGTCCTACACTGTCCTACACTGTCCTACACTGTCCTACACTGTCTTACACTGCTCTACGTGTCCTACACTGTCCTACACTGTCCTACACTGTCCTACACTGTCATACACTGTCCTACACTGTCCTACACTGTCTTACACTGTCCTACACTGTCCTACACTGTCCTACACTGTCCTACACTGTCTTACACTGCTCTACGTGTCCTACACTGTCCTACACTGTCCTACACTGTCTTACACTGTCCTACAATGTCCTACACTGTCCTACACTGTCCTACAATGTCCTACACTGTCCTACACTGTCCTACACTGTCCTACACTATCCTACACTGTCCTACACTGTCCTACACTGTCCTACACTATCCTACACTGTCTTACACTGCTCTACGTGTCCTACAGGATCCTGCATCGACATCGAGTCCTACTACGTCCTACAGAGTCCTTCCACGTCCTACAGAGTCCTACACCGCCCTCCATTGTCCTACTCTGTCCTACAGTACTTTGCAGAACGATGCAACGGTGTAGAGTTAAAAACACAACGAGCTCTAGACGAGATTACACTCTGACCATCTGTTTTATAGCGTTTACAACACTGACGCTAGGGCTCTACCCGCAGTTCACACAAGGTAGGCTTTAGCTCATGGTTACCATAAGCTCAGGGAAGGGAAGCTTGGCCGGGACTATAGCTCTCTAACATCTGAATGTATCACCTATAACATCTTGCTAAAATCTTTTTCACATATCCCACCTATCCCAGCTATCTAATATCTGAATGTATCACCTATCTCAGCTACCAAACATATGAATGTATCACCTATCCCAACTACCTAACATTTTATTGTATCACCGATCCCAGCTACCTTATTGTATCACCTTTCTCACATACCTAATTGTATCACATATCCCAGCTACCTAATTGTATCACCTATCCCAGCTACCTAATTGTCTCACCTATCCCAGCTACCTAATTGTATCACCTATCCCAGCTACCTATTTGTATCACCTATCCCAGCTACCTAATTGTCTCACCTATCCCAGCTAATTGTATCACCTATCCCAGCTACCTAATTGTATCACCTATATCAGCTACCTAATTGTATCACCTATCCCAGCTACCTAATTGTCTCACCTATCCCGGCTAATTGTATCACCTATCCCAGCTACCTAATTGTATCACCTATCCCAGCTACCTAATTGTCTCACCTATCCCAGCTACCTAATTGTATCACCTATCCCAGCTACCTAATTGTCTCACCTATCCCAGCTACCTAATTGTATCACCTATCCCAGCTACCTATTTGTATCACCTATCCCAGCTACCTAATTGTATCACCTATCCCAGCTACCTAATTGTCTCACCTATCCCAGCTAATTGTAACACCTATCCCAGCTACCTAATTGTATCACCTATCCCAGCTAATTGTATCACCTATCCCAGCTACCTAATTGTCTCACCTATCCCAGCTACCTAATTGTATCACCAATACCAGCTACCTTATTGTATCACCAATACCAGCTACCTAATTGTCTCACCTATCCCAGCTAATTGTATCACCTATCCCAGCTAATTGTATCACATATCCCAGCTACCTAATTGTCTCACCTATCCCAGCTACCTAATTGTATCACCAATACCAGCTACCTAATTGTATCACCAATACCAGCTACCTAATTGTCTCACCTATCCCAGCTAATTGTATCACCTATCCCAGCTAATTGTATCACCTATCCCAGCTACCTAATTGTATCACCTATCCCAGCTAATTTTATCACATATCCCAGCTAATTGTATCACCTATCCCAGCTACCTAATTGTATCACCTATCCCAGCTAACTGCATCACCTATCCCAGCTACCTCTAACATCCTATCCCAGCTAATTGTATCACCTATCCGAGCTAATTGTATCACCTATCCCAGCTACCTAATTGTATCACCTATCCCAGCTAATTGTATCACCTATCCCAGCTAATTGTATCACCTATCCCAGCTACCTAATTGTATCACCTATCCCAGCTACCTAATTGTATCACCTATCCCAGCTACCTAATTGTATCACCTATCCCAGCTACCTATTTGTATCACCTATCCCAGCTACCTAATTGTATCACCAATACCAGCTACCTAATTGTATCACCTATCCCAGCTACCTAATTGTATCACCTATCCCAGCTACCTAATTGTATCACCTATCCCAGCTACTTAATTGTATCACCTATCCCAGCTAATTGTATCACCTATCCCAGCTACCTAATTGTATCACCTATCCCAGCTACCTAATTGTATCACCTATCCCAGCTACCTAATTGTATCACCTATCCCAGCTACCTAATTGTATCACCTATCCCAGCTACTTAATTGTATCACCTATCCCAGCTAATTGTATCACCTATCCCAGCTACTTAATTGTATCACCTATCCCAGCTACTTAATTGTATCACCTATCCCAGCTACTTAATTGTATCACCTATCCCAGCTAATTGTATCACCTATCCCAGCTAATTGTATCACCTATCCCAGCTACCTAATTGTATCACCTATCCCAGCTAATTGTATCACCTATCCCAGCTACCTGTCCGGCTCACCAGTACGGAAACAGCTGTGAGCTCACGTGCAACTGTCACAAGTGTGACAGCAGTGACGGCTGTCTGCATGAGGACTGTTATCCGGGATGGTTCGGGGAGAAGTGCCTCTACAGTAAGGGGAGATCACTGTGTTGTAGGGGAGGTCACTGGGTTGTAGGGGAGGTCACTGTGTTGTAGGGGAGATCACTGTGTTGTAGGGGAGGTCACTGGGTTGTAGGGGAGGTCACTGGGTTGTAGGGGAGATCACTGTGTTGTAGGGGAGATCACTATGTTGTAGGGGAGATCACTGTGTTGTAGGGGAGATCACTGGGTTGTAGGGGAGATCATTGGGTTGTAGGGGAGGTCACTGGGTTGTAGGGGAGATCACTGTGTTGTAGGGGAGATCATTGGATTGTAGGGGATATCACTGTGTTGTAGGGGAGATCACTGGGTTGTAGGGGAGATCATTGGGTTGTAGGGGAAATCACTGTTGTAGGGGAGATCATTATGTTAAAAGGGGATCACTTTGTTCCAGGGGAGATCACTATGTTGGAGATTACTATGTTGTAGTGGAGATCAGTATGTTAAATGGTAGATCACTAAGTTAAAGGGGGGTTACTATGTTGGAGGGGAGATCAGTATGTTAAAAGGGGATCACTATGTTTTTTATAAGGAGATCAATTAATTGTTGCTGTAGAGACCACTATGGTAAAGGGGAGACCTCTATGTTGTAGGGGAGATCACTGGCTTATTATTTTATGGGAGATCAATGGGTTGTGAGGGAGACGACTGTGTTGAGTTTATAGGGATATCATAGTGCATTTGTTGTATTGGAGATCACCTTGTTATGGATTGCCAGTACATTATTTGTTGAGATACAACATTGCAATAACATATCTAGGCTGGCAAGTAACAGAACATACTCTCATTACACATTACGGATGTGTTAGATGCTAAATAAGAATATCACCAGTAGCCTGTATATTGTCTCGCTATGATTTCATGAGTGAATCAATGCCTTCATCCCACCAACAGTGTACCTGATCACTAAGACCACACTAGTAAATCCATGTCCTATTCGACCCAACAGAAAACCTCATCACCAAAAAGACTAAAATAACCCCCAAAATATCGGAATATTTGAGTTGTGTTTTAGAGGACCAAATCACAATTTATCTGGAATCAAGTATCTACTTCGTGTTTATGCAAATCGGTTTTAATAGCATTGGTATGTATATCTTACCCCCATCTTTAAACATATATAGATTATACATAGATTATATATATATATATATATATATATATATATATATATATATACCTATATACATATCTAGATATATATTCATATTTAAGAAAGTAAAGTTCCCATTTCAAAACCTGGCGGTCTATAGGGCAAGTGAAATAGAGTTCACTTGTTTCTTTGACCTCATGTGTACATAAATTCGTTGGTTGGTTCGTTCGTTCCTTGGTTCGTTCGTTTATACGTCAATTCGTTTATTCAATCATTTGTCTATATTTTAGTATCCCCCAATGCCGTGTTGTCCGTGATGTTTGACAGAGCTAGCGCCAATTCAATCGACATCAGAAATCACAATAACAAAACGCTGCTATTCGAATCACCATCGGCCCTTTTTGTCCAAGTTATCACAGTCAGGTTGTCGGGGGTACTTGAGATATGTTGGGCTTCTATCAGTCAAGGTAAGATATGTTGGGCTTGTATCAGTCAAGGTAAGATATGTTGGGCTTCTATCAGTCAAGGTAAGAGATATGCCGGTTGATGTAAGTCAAGGTTAGAATTGTGAAAGAAAGAAAAATAAGAAACAAACAAAGAAAGAAACAAAGAAAGAGTGAATGAAAGGATATTAATTACCTCTCTTACCGGATTACCAAAATCTATGACAATACAACTATACCCAAGAGACAACTATGTTTTTCTGTTGTTTGATAAAATTTCCTCGTTTCTTTCAAACTCTTTAAAAAAATATTCTTGTCTTTTTTAATTTCTTTATGACACATGGTTTTAGACTTCCGACTTTAAAAAAAAATCCTTTTGGATTCCATGTTATTATTGTGATGTCGTGTCTGGTAATTCTTGGTGCCTGTTTCTTCACCGTATATGAGGCTCTATGATCAGAAGTACTCACCAAAGCTGGCTTGACTTAAGATCAATGACAGGGGGTAAATAAGGGATCTAAAACACGTGATCTATCGGATTACATCATGCGCATTAAAGTAGTTCCGTACAGCAAACTTGTCAAACTTGTCAAACTTGTTACACAACAGGGAGAAATATGTACTTCGGGCAAAAGCCAGTATTTATGGAGAAGTTAGCGAGGAAATCCCATCCAGATCCTGGTCTACTAGTGGATGGCAGTTCTCAAAGCTGTGTTCATGAAAAGTCCAGTCAAGGCTTAACCTGGCACATTCAGTTCGACCCTCCCGTAGCTATACAACTTATCTTTTTGTATTTTGATGGTAAGCATCATATATAAAATTTATGTATATATATATATATATATATATATATATATATATATATATATATATATATATATTTATTTATTTACTAATATATATATATATATATATATATATATATATATATATATATATATATATATATATATTTATATATTTATTTATTTACTTATTTATTTATTTACTAATATATATATGTATATATATATATATATATATATATATATATATATATATATATATATATATATATATATATATATAAATTTTATTTTATTTATTTATTTATTTATCTATTTATTTATTTATTTATTTATATATTTACTAATATATATATATATATATATATATATATATATATATATATATATATATATATATATATACTAGCTGCATCCCGTGCTCCGCCACGGTAAATCTTTTTAAAATATACCAACTTTGGAACAGAACAAAACAAACAAAAACATATATATATATCAATGTGTGTCTCAGGCACAATAGGTAATAGCGCAATGGACTACATGCTAAAGGTCAACAATCAAGAGAATATCACTATCTCCGAATCCAACACGATTCATCATATCCACGTGCCCTGGGACAAAGCCACCCATCAGGTCCACATTACCTCCACCAGTAACTCCTTTTCTTTATGCGAGGTCGAGTTTTATGGGGGTGAGCGTCATAGCTACAATTGTATAAGAATTTAAAATATTAATTTTTATAGGAATAAACAATATCATATTATAATAATGAACAATGTCAAATTTTATAAAAATTAAAAATATTACTGTTTATAGCAGGGGTTTCCAAACTACGGCCCGCGGGCCGGATGCGGCCCGCGAAGTCTTCTCATCCGGCCCGCGGAGATTATTTTGTTCATGAAAAAATCGTTTGTTGGTGATGGCTGAGGAACTTTGCCCAGAAAAATCAAAGACATGCGTGGAAGAAACTGGCCCCCGAGCTGAAATTTGATAGTTAATGCGGCCCTAGGACTGAAAAGTTTGGAGACCCCTGGTTTATAGGAATAAACAATATCAATTTTATGAGAATGAACTATACCAATTTGAACATAATGAACAATATTCAATTTTCAATTCTAAACATGTTTAATTCTAACAGCTAAACAAATAGAATCTCAACACAACAAACTAAAACTTTTTAAACTAGCAAGCCATTCTAATTTAAACGTTCTTAAGAATTGCTTCTTTCTGCAACCTGTAACAGCTGCGAAGATTTTAAAAAAGATTATACACGTCACTAAAATTATCATTGGGACGGCGTGGCCAAACTGTAAAGCTTACTGCTGCTAACTCGAAGGTCTCGAGTTCGGAACTCGGACTCTACGCTTTTGGATGCCCATACATTCCGAGAACCGAGGCAGCTAAGCAAATATGCTCAGCACACTATCCCCTTCTATGTCAAGGTCATCAAAACAAAGAACTCTACTTTATCTGCCACAATGTGTTTACATCTGGCTATCTAATATTTGACCTGGGGCTGCCCCCCCCCCCTCTGTACCTATACAGACTGCCCCCTGGCTATCTAATATTTGACCTGGGGCTGCCCCCCCCTCTCTGTACCTATACAGACTGCCCCCTGGCTATCTAATATTTGACCTGGGGCTGCCCCCCCCCCCTCTCTGTACCTATACAGACTGCTCCCTGGCTATCTAATATTTGACCTGGGGCTGCCCCCCCTCTCTGTACCTATACAGACTGCCCTCTGGCTATCTAATATTTGACCTGGTGTTTCCCCCCCCCTCTCTGTACCCCCACAGACTGCGACGCTGGCACCACGGGAACCAAGTGTGACAAACCTTGTAGCGATCTCTGCATCGGACTCAAGTGTTTTCTCGATGGCAATTGTAGATATGGCAAGCACGAAAATAAATCTACAGAGAGTATGTATAGTTATTTTTTTGTTATATGTATACATTATAATGAGGTTTGACTGTAGGAGTTGGGAGTGAGGGAGTTGGGAGTGAGGGAGTTGTTGAGAGTGAGGGAGATGGGAGTGAGGGAGATGGGAGTGAGGGAGTTGGGAGTGAGGGAGTGAGGGAGTTGGGAGTAAGGGAGTTGTTGAGAGTGAGGGAGATGGGAGTGATGGAGATGGGAGTGAGGGAGTTGGGAGTGAGGGAGTTGGGAGTGAGGGAGTTGGGAGTGAGGGAGGAAGGAGTTGGGAGTGAGGGAGATGGGAATGAGGGAGTTGGGAGTGAGGGAGTTGGGAGTGAGGGAGTTGGGAGTGAGGGAGTTGGGAGTGAGGGAGTTGGGAGTGAGGGAGTTGGGAGTGAGGGAGTTGGGAGTGAGGGAGTTGGGAGTGAGGGAGTTGTTGAGAGTGAGGGAGATGGGAGTGAGGGAGTTGGGAGTGAGGGAGTTGTTGAGAGTGAGGGAGTTGGGAGTGAGGGAGATGGGAGTGAGGGAGATGGGAGTGAGGGAGATTGGAGTGAGGGAGTTGGGAGTGAGGGAGATGGTAGTGAGGGAGATTGGAGTGAGGGAGATTGGAGTGAGGGAGTGTAACGATGGTTTATGGAGGACGTAAAATGGGTTTCAAACTGTACATGACGTCATCTGTTGCGGACACAATAAACACTAAGGCTCTAATGACAGCTTCCGGTTTATTGCTACGTGTATAACAAACCTCAAATAGTGGATGATAATTGCCATGTTAAAGTACAGTCAAGTTCCCTTTCCGAACTTGGGCAGGTGAAGTAGAGTTCACCTGTTTAAGTGACCTCGGCTTACGACCATGTAACATTTCTTTTCTCCATCAGTATTTAGCAGTGACTTTACATTTGACTCCCATCCTAATATTTTTAAAAACCTAGAAATTTTCACGCCCCCCCCCTCTATTCCAGTTTCTGTCAAAAAAGTGCACGGTGTTGAGATTGGAACCGCCCGCACGGAGCTCCCGATCGCCCAGAAGGGCGACATGTGGTACATTCTGTTGACCACTGTGATCGTGGTGTTGGTACTCGTCGTGGCCGTGCTGTTGGTGTACGTCAAGAGGAAGTGTGTTCAGCTGTGTCGGAAGTGAGCTGCACCACGCCGTGTTTTACCTGCTCACACACGCGCGCATACACGCACACGCACACACGCACATTCTTATTTATACACACACATACACATAACCACGCAGTCATCAATACACGTGTACCTTCACATAAACACACACATACATATAAACATTTAGACATGCAGTCACCCATACAGTGTACCTAACATAAACACACACACATATACACATAAACATTTAGACATACAGTCACCCATACACGTGTATCTTCACATAAACACACACATAGTATACACACACATACACATAAACATTTAGACACGCAGTTTTCCATACACGTCTACCTTCACATAAACACACACACATACACATAAACATTTAGACACGCAGTCAACCACATACGTGTACCTTCACATAAACACACACACAAAGACAATCCCACACACTCACATGCATTTAAATACACAAACATATGCATATATATAATATCATGCGTCGTTAAAAATGTAAATTGTTTTGTAAATAAAATTGAAATATCTTCAATCAATCTTGTGTTGTTTTTAATTTGGAAATCTAACAGAAAGTTTTGACACAGTATGTAAATAGAAATGCATTAGTTTAAGCAAACATCCAAGAGTCTGCATGATTGTTATATAAGCAGGAGGATGGGTAAAGGTAGCCAAATTATCAAATTACGTTAGAATTTGGTGGACTTTAAAATATTTGACCTTGGAGGGGGGGGGGGGGCTCTGTAGCATGATGAAATATAAAGGAATAAGCGGACTAAATTGTTTCTAAATTGTTAAAAATTAAGATTAGGCGCATTTATTTGGGGATGAGGGGGAGGGTGTCTAATTGGAGAGCATTTCTAACTCCAAAAAAGTTAGAAGCGGTACAGCACTTTCTCTTGGAGATGAAACTTTGTTTACTTCTGATTTAATGTAAATGATGACTTGGTTTACCACTAGCTTAGTGTCAATTATGACATATTTTACCTCTTGCTAAGTGTTAATGATGACATAGTTTACCTCTTGCCAAGTGTTAATGATGACATAGTTTACCTCTTGCTAAGTGTTAATGATGACTTTGTTTACCTCTTGCTAAGTGTTAATGATGACATATTTTACCTCTTGCTAAGTGTTAATGATGACATATTTTACCTCTTGCTAAGTGTTAATGATGACAT